CTTGAAAACAGCATACTAATTAGTCTCAGTTCTTTTTCTAACTTTCCGCTCTGTGTCTTTTAACTGGAGCACTTAGCCTATTTACATCTAAGGTTAATATGAATATGTGTGGATTTGATCCTGTCATCAGGATGTTAGTTGGTTATTTCACAGACTTGTTTATGTGGATCTTTATTGTGTCACTTGTCTGAGTACTTCAGTGTGTTTTTGTAATGGCTGGTAATGATGGTCTTTTCTTTCCACACTTAGTGCTTTATTCAGAAGCTCTTGTAAGGCAGGCTTTGTTGTGATGTATTTCCTCAGCATTGGCTTGTCTTAAAAGGATCTTATTTCTCCTCACTTATGAAGTTTAGTTTGGCTGGATATAAAATTCTGGGTTGGAGTTTCTTTTCTTTGAGAATGTTGAATACTGACCCAGAATCTCTTCCAGATTGTAGGATTCCTTCTGAGAGGTCCACTGTTATTCTGATGGGCTTTTCTTTGTAGGTGAGCTGGCCTTTTCTCCAACTGCCTTTAACATTTTTTCTTTCATTCCCACCTGGAAGAATCTGAACTTGTGTCTTGGAAATGATATTTTTGTGGAGTATCTTACTGGCATTCTCTGAATTTTTAAAATTTGAATGTTGCCCTCTGTCCATAGGTTGGGGAATTTTTCATAGAAGATTTCCTGAAATATGTTTTCTAGGTTGGTTCCATTTGCCCCATCTTTTTCAGGTATATCAATCAGTCATAGAATGGGTCTCTTTACATAATCCAATATCTCTGGGAGGTTTTGTTCATTCTTTTCATTATATGCATTATTTTTTCTCCATTTCTGCCTTCCTCCTTATTTCCAAAAGTCAGTGTTCAAGCTCTGAGATTCTTTTCCCCACTTGGTCTGTTGTGCTATTAATACTTGTGGCTGCATTATAAAATTCCTGTAATGTGTTTTTCAGAAATATCATGCTGGTTCCATTCTTCTCTGTATTGGCTATTTTCTCTGTCAGCTCCTGTAATAATTTTTTGTTATATTTAGCTTTTATAAATTGGGTTACAAGATACTCCTGTAGCTCAATGAACTTGGTTCCTATTACTACTTCTCATTTTAGCAATCTCAGGTTCAGCCCAGTTCTGGAGCCTTGATGGAGAGGTGATGCAGTCATTTGAAGGAATGAAACCATTCTGACTTTTTCAGTTTTCAGTGGAGAACTAGTTGATTAATTTTTTTGTGTGCTTAGTGATTTGTGTATTTCTTTATGAAATCTTTTTTTTACATGTATAGTTATGAAATATCTTTTTATGTTATTTTTAAAAAGCTTTATGTTTTTGACTTTTGCATTTCAGGTTATGATTCATTTAGAATTAATATTTGTATCAATGTACAGGTAAAATATACAGATTAAGATTCATTTTCATGTAATATGGACATGTAATTGATCCAATGTAATCATTATATTTTTTCTACTAAATGACTGCTACTGTCTGAGTGTTTGTGCCCCTCCAAAGTTCCTTTTGAAAGTGAATTTTCATGGCAACAGTAATATAAGTTGGACCCTTTGGGTGATTATGTCATGAGGGCACTCATGCACAAGATTAATGCCTAATAAAAGAGGCTTCACATAGTTATTCCATTGGCCATCTCACCTTCACCATTAATGATGCAGTCACAAGGTGCAATTTTGGGAGCAGGAATAGCCCTCACCGAACACCAAGATTGCCAGCAGCTTGACATTGGAGCTTTCAATGTACATAACTATGAGAAAATAAATTTGTGGTCAATTAATACCCAGTCCAAGTTATTTTTTCAGTACAAGTGTTTTAAGACACTTGTTGTAGGACTTTTATTGAAAATTGAGTGACTATATATATGCAGAACTGGTTTCAGATTCTCTAACTCATTGCATTGGATTATCTGTCTCACCATTCACTAAAATAATAATTTTTAATTAAAAAATAATTAATTAATCAATTTTTTTTTTGAGACAAGGTCTTGCTTTGCTGCCCAAGCTGGAGTGTAGTGGTACAATCTCAGCTCACTGGAACCTTTGCCTTCAAGGCTCAAGCGATTCTCTTACCTCACCCTCTCAAGTACCTGAGGCCACAGGCATGTAACATCATGAGAGGCTAAGTTTTTTTCATATATTTTGTAGCAGTGTTTCCCAGGCTGATCTCAAACTCCTGAGCTCAAGCTATCCACCCACTTCAGCCTCCCAACCTGCGGCAACTGCAGGCATGAATCACCACATCCAGCCACAATATGTTTATTTAATAGGTTTTCGTATTGAGAAGCGTTAATCCTTCCATCTTGTTTTTCTTATGTAAGATTACCATGGCTGTTTTTTGCCTCTTTGCTTTTACATGTAAGTTAGAAAAATGTTTTCAATTTCAACAAAAATGCCCAGTGATTTTGATTGTCACTGTATTAAATTCATTTTGGGAGATTTATGTTTACAGTATTAAGTTTCCTAATACATATACATGGAATAACTTTCCATTTGTTGGGCCTCCTTGATTCCTTCTCAATAACCTTTTGTACATTTGCACATACTACTTATAACTTTTTCTTTTACCATAATGTCAAACAGAGACAAGTTGTAAAAATACTGTAAAATATAAAATGGACCCACATTCATTTGTCTATCAATAGTTGAATTTCTACTTTCATATTCCTTCTATAAGTTGTTTTTCTGGGTACTATTGATGCAAACAAAACAAACTACTCCCAAAGTTAATGGCACATGAAGATTTCAATCATCTGCCTATTACCTCTGTGGTTCTGGATGTCACCTTGGCTCACCCAGGTTCCTGCCCGGCTTTCCACAAGGCTTTCTTAAGAATGAAGTCAGAGGGTAAATGGGGAAAGTGTCATCTCAAAGGTGCTTGACAATGGATATAGGTTCTCAGCTGGGCTCTTTGCATATTTATACTGTGGCTTGGTTCCCTCAACACTTTCCCAAGAGGAGTAGACAGAAGATATGCAGCCTGAACGGCCTCTTCTAGCCTCAGGAGGCAAATACTGATACTTCTACCACTTTCTCATTCCCCTTAGGAATCAAGAGAAATAAAGTGCAAGGCAGTAGGTTTAATGGGAGGAGCGTCAAGATCACACTGTTAGAAGAAACTATACAGTGGAATCTCTTCTTACAGGCATCATGGAGGATACAAGCGGCGTCAGTGCACCGGTGACTAAAGCAATTCACATTCCTTCCACGTGCTAAATACTCTATTTTGCAGCTTGACGTGCTCAAGTATTATTCCATGATAGTGTTAGGGTACCCTAAAAATGTTGTCTCGGGGGAGTGATATTAGCTAGATGACAGAGTAGGAGATTCCAGCCTTCACAGGCCCACCCAAAAAAACCATAAACACATAAAAATAAAAGCAAAACCAACAATTAGATGGCTATCCAAGAAGAAAAACAGCCCTTGGAGTGCTCAAGGGTCCAATTAAAGAAATTCAGAAAGACAGTGGGCAAAAAAAGCCCAGAATAACCATACAGAAAGGCTTGCTGAGAGACGGCACACCTGCGAGTTTTGAGATCTCTGGGAGCAAAGAAGCAGGAGGCAATTGTTATCAGCCTGGAGGCAGGGCCACGGCAGCCCACCCTCCCAAGAAGCAGCCACTGTTGTGCTGCCTGGGATGGGACTGCCTCCCAGCCCAACACTATTATACCAGACCCAGTCTCCAGGACTCATCCTGTGTGGCACATCAGACTTTGAGCCCAGGCCCAGAACTGCTGTCACTACAAGTGCACCCACACTCCAAAGCCTGGCCCTGAGGCTGCTCTGGATAACGTAAGCAGAGAATGTACAGCAACACGGTAGAGTGAAATGTGGAGACTAACCATACAGAAAGCATCTCTGGAGATGGAATACCTGACAGACCTGATAAATACTGGCAAATATGTCAAGAGTAATGAAACACATTAGTCTAACAAGATAAAAAAAATGAAACTTAGCCACAATAAATGTAAAGACATGCATCATTATACAGATTGTAGTTAAAATGCTGAATCACACGAAAAGAAAAATTCCAAAAGTATCAGAAAAAAAAACTGGTTTATTATACCAGGGAAATAGTAATAAAACCCTTGGTTAACTGTTTATATGACCAACAGAGGCAAGAATACAGTGAGATTACATATTTAAATGCTGGGTGGAGGGGACTCAACCAAGGATTCATTATCCAGTGAAAATATGCTTCAAAAATAAGGTAAAGTAGAAACATTTATTGATAAACAAAATGAAGAGAAACGATTACTTGCAGATATCTTCCAAAAGATATTCAAGAGGAAAGGTTTGAGAATCACAGGAAATGACAGCAGATAGTAAGTTGAATCCACAGAAATAAATGAAGATTTCACAAATAGTAAAGGAAAGAGCAAGAAGCAAGGAAAAAAACAAAAAAGAGTTTCAACTATATGAAACTCTAGCTGAGGGAAAACCAAGCTATTGTGATGAATATCTGAGTTCCAGTTACACTGATTGGGATAGGAGAGCAGCTGTTGCCTGGGAAGGGGCACGAGACTTGGAAGTATTTTAGAGATTCACCAGGATGGAGAACATACGTAAAACTTAGTTGCATATTTGACATTTCAGCCCTCATTTCATGAGGTATGTGTATTACCTCATGAAAAAATCGAACAACTCATTCTGGACTCAAATAAACATAAATAAAGAAAGAAGAATTATCAACTACTTATGGAATCTCAGCCATATTAAGGAGAAGTAAAAAATGCACCTGGGCCGTGCTAAAAAAAATCAGGAAATCTAGGAGAAAAGACAAAAAGAAACAGGCACATTTCTCCTACTCCTGCAGCATAGATTTTATCTCTGTTGGTTTCTCCCCAAACAGAGAAGACATTTAAGTTACTTTTCTCACAAGAGAGGCCCCTCCACCCTCCCCTTGGCTCTTTCCACACCACTGCTCCCACCAGGTGATTTGCATATTGTCTCCCAGGGAGGACCTGCCCTGTGAGTCTGAGATAAAAGCTCCGCTCTAACCTTGCCCTGACTGATAAGGACTCCTCAGTTCTCCTTCTCACAATGAAGCTCCCTGCTCAGCTCCTGGGGCTGCTAATGCTCTGGCTCTCTGGTAAGGACAGAATTAAAATGAGGTGGGAAAATGGGATGGGAGGGTGGGATGTGGGGGCTCCACAGCTTCCCATGTTTATTTCCAGCATGTGTTAGAGGCACATGGTATCCAGGAAAGAGAATTCATATTTTTATCTTATGAATAATCAGAATTCACTTCCAAGGAACAATGACCAGTGCTCTGGTTCCGATCTTAAAAATAAAGAGTTCCCTACTGGCTACTAAATAGTGCATTCATTTTAGAAGGTCTACGTTTTACAATATAAATAAAAACTTGAAAAAATATGTAACTGCAAATCAGTATCTTAAGGAAATAACGAAAGTTGCTCAAAATGTGTCTATATAACCATGTACTTCTCTGATTATTTCAGGATCCAGTGGGGATATTGCGATGACCCAGACTCCACTCTCCCTGCCCGTCACCCTAGGAGAGTCAGCCTCCATCTCCTGCAGGTCTAGTCAGAGCCTCTTTGATAGTGATTATGAACTCACCTATTTGGATTGGTACCTGCAGAAGCCAGGCCAGTCTCCACAGCTCCTGATCTATAGTGTTTCCAACCGGGCCTCTGGAGTCCCAGACAGGTTCAGTGGCACTGGGTCAGGCACTGATTTCACACTGAAAATCAGTCGGGTGGAGGCTGAGGATGTTGGGGTTTATTACTGCATGCAAAGTAAAGAGCTTCCTCCCACAGTGGTACAACCCTGAACAGAAACCTCCTTGCTGGCGTATCCCAGCTGCTCACATGTGCTGCTTGTCTGGGGGAGCAGCTCAGCAGGGTCTCTGGGTCTGCAGAAGACTAGGCTGCTGGAGAATTCAGGGCAGAGTTTGCTGCTGAGGACTCTGTCTGGGACAACAGTTGCATGCCACTAAGCATGGCTAATTTTTGTTTTACGTAGAGTCGGTGCTTCACCACGTTGCCCAGCCTGTTCTCAGGCTCATGGGCTCCTGCCACCCACTTGACTTAGCCTCCCAAAGTGCTGGGAGTATAGGTGTGGGCCATTGTGCCAGGTCAGCACCCCTGTTTATGTTCCTGTCACTTGCCACAGCCATGACTCTCATAAGCAACAGGAGAATGAGGAGGTTCTAGGGCCCTGTGAGTAAAAATTTGGGATGAAACGGAAAGAAGAATGGAAGCTCATCTTAATCCTCCTTCCTTGCTTATATTTTTAAAATATCCTGAGCAAAACAGCCAGCCAATTGATCATTTCTGGCAAAACATGTTGAATACATCTTAGGGTTTAACAGTTTTGGGTACATTTTAAAGAAAATATTTGGTTATATGTGAAATTGGCATTTTCCCACTTTTTAAATTCCTGCTTCTTCTATTTACCATTCTTCTCCACTCCCTGAGACAGTAGACACAGGACTTTCCACTAGTTCTTCTCAGGGTGAGCTGGCTGGGGACAACCAGTAACATCTTGGTTGTGAGTGTCAAACAGATTTTGTAATTTCATAGCAGACACAAGATCCTAACACTAAAACTCTTTGATCAAAATTACCTCTTGTGGATTGAAAAGGGAGTTCTTGAAATTTTTAAAGTTGGTTTTAAAAATAATATGTGTATACTGGAAGATGCAGTATACTAAAAATGTGGTATTTTCCATAGATCACTGAGAAAATACAGGATGGTGTAAAGTTTTTTATTTTCTAAAGCTCAGAATTTGGGATTTGGCAGACTGCAGGAATGGGGGCATGAAGAGAACACAGGAGAGGTCAGCTCTTGTTCGATTAAATTTCCCTTGGCTATGGTGGGTGGGAATGTGGCTGGTGGTGGGCTTGGCAGTTGATGATGTAGATTAAAAAGGAGCCAAATATGTTACTTGTGAAGAACCACAGAGCTGAAGGCACTGCTGCCTGGCTTCCTGGGTGGAGGCTGTGCCACTGGGAGTCTCACAAGAAAGCAATCTCGTGAGCAAGTATTTATGTCTGTGATCAACGAAGGTTTAGAGAAGTCCCTGTACAAGCAGACCTGAGGTCATGCCACTCAATTCTAGTTAAATCGCAACAGCCAAGCAGAGCTTCTGAAACTCATTCTGCTCCTAGAGGAGTTTAGCAGAGATCACTGGTTGTGTCTGGAGACCTCACAAGCACTGACATGCTGAGCAGAAGGCTCAATAGGATGTAAGCCAGCAGGTTTTGATACATGAAAATTTTCCTTTTCAGTTGTCATAAAAAACAATAGAAGGTTTGAAATAAGAAAATGTATTATTTTGACACAATGTGGTCATTACCCAAAAATAAATTTGATTTCCATATTCTAGTAGTAGGTGTAAAGAAAAATCTATGATTTGCATGTATTCACTTAAAATAATGCTCCAAAAATATTTGTGAATTAATCATGGGCATGAGATGATACGATTAAATAAATGTTTGTATCAAAAGGACAAAATGTCTTCTTTCTGGTTAAAAAAATGAATCACATCAGAAATGATTTTCTATTCTAAGATGAAGGATCCTATGGTGAGTGAAGTTAAAATTGTATTTCCAAGTAGAAATGTCAAAAGAAAAAAAGAAAAGAAAAAAACGTGTGGAATATAGGAAGGAATTTATCACGCATACAAAAAATGACAAGTCTTTAGAGTACATCTCCATTCACAAATGAAAACACACATTCAACTTAAAATCTATTTATTTCACTCTCACAATCACCAGGTGGAGACTATAGGTAGTATAATTAAAATTGCATTCCTAACTAAAAAGTACAAAAGCAAAGAAAAGATGGTTTATAGAAAAGAGTTTGTAAAATAAAGAATGACATGTTTATATAAGGTATTCACAAGTGAGGGCACACATCTCACCAGAATTCTAGGGATTTCACCATCACAAACACCACTTTGTGGCCTGGAAATTCTGCACATCCTTCCGTGAGCAGGACAGTTTTTGGGACCCTGAACAGTGTGATAGCCGCAGATACAAAGCTCCAAAGAAACAGCCTCTCAGTGTGGCAGGAGAGGCTGTGGTACCAGGAGATGCGTTCACAGCAGGTGAATCCAGGTGGGTTCAGGCAGATGGCTGGAGAGTCTTTGAGGAAGAGGCCTTGCAGCTTCAGTCACAGGTACATGCTCCTTTTCTGTGTGAAAACTGGCCAGGGCCATCCAGGGCACCTTCCAGAGCCTCTTCCTTTCTAACTACTTGCAGCGCTCTAGCCCCACAAACCCTCCAGGCGTGGCTGCCATGTAGTCCCAGGAGCAGTCACTAGTTTCCTGCCGTCCTCAGGGCTGCAGGGATGCTCAGTAATGTCACTGAGAGGAGATTCTAGTGTGTCCTGTCCTCACCTGCTGCCACTGATGACCTTCAGGGAACTTCTTTTTGCTTTTGCCAAGTGACCCCACTCTCAACAACCATCAGGAGGATAGAAAGTGGCCTGTACTGCATGAATTTTGGCTAACGAGCAAGTCAGAGCTCGTGGGAGTGTCATGTATGTGCAGCTCATAATAATATCATGTAGGAATCGTATTTTGACTTTTCCTGTCTCCCAGTTCTCTCTGAGCAGTTACTCACTCTCTGAGTAACTGACTTTAAGATGTTCCATTGACTTTAAGATGTTCCATTGACTTTAAGATGTTCCTCTTGTTAAGAGCGGTTACTCACTGACCATCCACTCTAAGATGTTCCTCTTATGAAGCTTCTAAAGATTTTTGTTATTTTTTTTTTTTCTTTTTGAGTCAGGGAGGCCCTTGTTCTCTCACTCAGGCCGGAGTGCAGTGATGCCATCTTGACTCATTCCAACCTCTGCCTGCTGGGTTCAAGCAACTCTCCTGCCTCAGCCTCCCAAGTAGCTGGGATTACAGGCACCCAACACCATGCCCGGGTAATTTTTGTATTTTTAGTAGAGATGGGGTTTCACCCTGTTGGCGAGGCAGGTCTCAAACGCCGGACCTCATGCAATCTGCCTGCCCACCTTGGTCTCCAAAATTGCTGAGATTACAGGTGTGAGCCACTGAGGCCATCCCTGAAGATGTTTTTATTTTAAGACTCATATGATTCTGATGGTAGAATTCCAGCTGTGTGCTTGCCACATGCTCACACTTCTATTAGTAAAAGACTCTTTTTTTTTAGTGTAATTTGCTCTTTTTAAACTAGTTTGTCAGGGTTGTGGTTCAGGTGATTGATTTTAAAACTTTCTTGCTAAAGTGCACGAATATTGCTAGAAATGAACTGTTTTTTGCATTCCACAAACATGGATACACTGTGTTTACTTTTAATTTCTATTTTTGTTTTTCTTTATTCCAAATTATATTTAGTAGTATTTTACTTAGTTTTAAAATATGTGGACTTTTTTGATAAATGTCTTATTTAAACTAATCTTTACGTTTCCCCAGTTTTAGGGGAACAAGAGGTTGTAGGTTCTACTGGTGAATTGTATAGTAGTGAAATCCAGGCTTTTAGTTACCCATCACCCAAAGAGCATACATTGTACCCAGTAGGAAAACTGTCATTCTTCCTCTTGGTGCACCATCTTCCCTTCATATCACTCTCTGTTGTCTATTTCTAATACAATTCTTTTGGTCATCGAGAATTTATTTTGTATGATTTATGTCCGTTTAATTTCACTGAAGTATCTTGTGGCCCAAAATATTATGTATGTCTGCAAATGTTTTGAAAATCATTTACTATCGTTTGGTGGAGTGTTCTCTAAGTATCAGTCTTGTCCAGGTGGTTGACCGCGTTGTTCAAGTCGTCTGTACCTGCACTGGGGCAAGGGGCAGGGCTATTTGCGCTGCAACCTGGACCTGCTACAGAGCCCTTTTCTACCCTGGGCCACATTCACGACTGGCAGACTTTCATGTCACCTGTTGGGCCAAACCTATATTCCAAGGGGCAGAATATGTAACCTCCAGAAACCAAAAAAGGCCTACTTGTGGCTTCTTTCTTTTAAAGACAAATGAACACATTAAACACATCAGAATGGAATAGTTCTTCCTGTCATCATGAACTCTGATTTCTTCCGTGTTGATAAAACACATTGTAGTGGCCTTGCTATTGGGCACACATTTAGTGCTGTTCTATGGCAGCTGTAGAGATGAATGCCCAGAAACAAAGTGCACTGCAATACCAGCTGTGGGAAATCAGCCTCCCAGCCACAGTCACGATATGACAGGGCAGCCGCAGAGTCCCCAAGTAAGTTTCTGATTATTTTCCTTGTCTTGGTGTAGTATCTGCATTTGCTCGCTAATGAGGAGAGACTAAAATTAGACATCGTGATGTCCTTGATTCTGCTGCACTAATTTCCATCTGGTCTTTCTGCCAGCCACTCACTAGGGCATTAAAGTCAAATTCTCCACAGATATGATTATCTTTTTCCAAGTGCTAGTTAAAAGGTTTTTCTTAGATTTGTCTAGCAAATTAAAGATTTTAATACTATGAATAGGGTTATGCAAATGGTGCCTTTCTCTCAGTCTCTCTGCAAATGTTAACATGAGGGTAAATCTCATAATAGATTTTTCATTATTTTACTTTTCCTTTACAATTCCTGAGTAAAATAAACTGTTAGGAGAAATACTATGAGTTTTGTTTGAACCCTAGACAGACTTACTGAAATTTCATACGTTAGCATCAAATCAGAAATCAAAGATATTGCTTTTGCTTAATGGCATACTCACAATTATTATGACGGGCTAAATATTTGCTTCAATTTTCCACAGAATGAATAGGCTTCTCCCTTTTATTCTGCCTTACATTGTTAATATTTGCATAATTAGTTTTCCTGGGGTAACAGATTAATATACATTCTCATATTCAATTTTAATTTATTTTATGGCTGTTAGGATTCTAGAATACAAAAGAAACCATTTTGTAGGTTGAGGATATTTGTAATTTACTAAGGTAAGAATATTAAATATGGGTAAGGTATAGCCAAGTAAGTGTCTAGCAAGAGATTATCCCTCTAGTCTTTGTTAACCTTGATAGTTTCATTCCTGACTGCTCTTGGGAGGTCAGAATTTATCTTTCAAAATTTTCTTTTATTACTGATTCTTCATTCTCTTCTTCCTTGGAGGCATTTGATAGAGTACAAAAAGCAAGGGCAGTTGGTTCTTCATGGGGCATTTACACTTGGGTGATCTTAGCTCCGGCCCAAGAGCAACCAAGTAATAATGAAGTTCACTGCTGTGATTCCAGAAGGGCAGAGTCACTATTTCCAGCTGTCAGTGCAGAGATCGTGTTATTATTAATTATTATTACCCAATAAGGAATTAACATTAAGTAATTTATTCAGCTCTTACCTGTTTCTTGCTTTGAACTTTTGATTTTTACTAGCAGGAGATAAAAAGAAGAAGCAAAAATATAATTTCAATTGATTTTAGGAATCAGTTTAGGTGAGTTAGTTTGACCCCTGACTTTTCCTGAGAGTCTTAAAGTTTCTTTAACAATAATTAATATAAGTATTTTATGGATTTTATAATTATTTAATATAAAAAAAGCTATGAGTATGAGAACTCTCAAATTGTATTCTCAATTTTTCTTCAGGTGAATTATCTTACCTAGTTAAAAGAAAAAAGTTACTTTACTTTGTTATCTTGTGGTATTCACACAAATTCTCATATCAACTGCAGCTTCCACTACCATTTAAAAGGCTAAATTCTCTAATTTAGTCTCTAGAAACTTTGCATTTGCCAACTTCCCATCTCTCAAGTAAACCAGGGTTTATTATGTGGTCAACAAGGCCAACATCACATTCAAACGGTGGAAAAAATTACTAACCTCCTAAATGTGCTGTGGTATTATGGAGACTTATGTTTGAGGACAGAAGCCCCTTTATTAAAGAGAACTGAGAGGGAACTTTAAAGACACAGAATGCTCAAGATGGAAACAGAACCATTGCCTCACTTTGTGCAATTTGTTGGGTGAGGTGGGGGTCTGCAGAAAGATTAACAAGCACAGAGGAAAAGCTCACCACTTAATCCCACAGCTGTGTGTGTAGTTTTATAGGATTCTAAACATTTTTTTTTTCCAAGAAAGAGTAAATCACATTAATTAAAACATTTGGGAACAGGTTCAGCTTAGACAGGTCTAGAACAGGGCCTGAAGGTGTAACTTACAAACAACCCTGTTTCTTCCAGTGCTGGAGAGATGGATTCTCAGAAGCAGAAAAGACACATTCATGGTGCCTTCCTTCTCTGACCTCTCTGTGTTTCAGAATATTTATCTGTGAATTTCTGCTCCAATGAGTAACAATTTACTGTTAATGAGATAATGCAGACAGCTTCATCCCCAAGTGTCTTACAGCCAGGAATCAAGCACAGGACCTGTGTCTTCACAAAGGGGTACTCCATGGGTGGCCTGATCTTAATTCTCATTTAAAGAGAAACTCTTCCCTTTAATAAAAAAGAATACTCATTG